GGTTTGACTTTTCTACAGTTCAATTTCATTGACTGTCCCCTGGAGCCACGGAGAATAACACTCCTGATCTGCCTTCTGTAGACTGAACAGTATTTTATAGACTGTTGTCACATCCAGTGGCACTGAAACAATTTGTATAGTGTGTGTGGGGGGGAGAGGGGGGACAGGGGCTAGGTGCTGTGAGCCATTGACTAAAATAATAAACCCAGTATTGATGGAAACCAAGCCAGGAGGTGTTGCTACATTCCCGGCCCCTCTAGTTCCAGCACCCATGGACTCATGCTATTTTAATTATCCCTTTCCCAAAGGTAAACAATCCCAATCTCTTGGGAGGTGGGGTGCCTTTCACTTTCACTTCTTATGAGTTTTCCCAGCTCTGTTCTCAGTCTCAGCACTTTTCTCCGAACCATCTCTGAGGCTGAGGCTACAATGCCACTTTACTGTGCTGAAAATACACACAGCAAGTTGCAGTGCTGTAAAATGCCAGTATAAACAGATTCCCAGCACTGATGGACACTCCCCTCATGGAGGTGGCTTATGTACAGTGTTGGGAGAGTTCTTTGCCGTAGAAAAACACATTCACTTTAAAGCGCTGACACACCTGAGCTCTAATTTTAGCATGTAGACAAAGCCTGAGTCTACAATATCCTTTCTGAGAAGGGGTCACCAGTACTGCATGTTACTCTAAAGGAGGTAACCCACTGATTGGTTCATGTACTGGCATTATACTACTCTCCATCCTATTCCATATGCATGCTAAAATGTTATTTCTCTTTTTTAAAAAACTACTGCTTCATACAGTAGAAGTCCTAAGTTAGCTGGCCATGATGATGTCAAGGTTCCTTTTCCTGAGCTGATGCAGTACTAGGTATATCCCTTTTCTGAGCTTATACAGAACCCTGTAAGATGGGTCAGATAGCAGAGGCATAGTAGCTACAGAGCAGCAATACAATGCATACTTTTTTCCTCAGGCTGTGGCTAGACTACATCCCTCTTTCAACAGAGGGATATAAATTAGACACTTTGAAATTGCAAATGAAGCAGGGATTTAAATATCCCGTGCTTCATTTGCATAATGGCATCATGGCGCTCTTTCGAAAAAGTGCCATTTCGAAGGTAAAACCACGGTCTAGACACGGTTCTTTTGAAAATGGCAGGCTTTTTCAAAAGATCCTGTGAACCTCATTTTTTTAGGAGTACAGGATCTTTCGCAAAAAATCTGTTTTAGAAAGAACTGTGTCTAAATTGCGATTTATCTTTAGAAATGGCGCTTTTTTGAAAGAACACCATGACACAATTATGCAAATGAAGCGTGGGATATTTAAATCTCCACTTCATTTGCAATTTTGAAGTGTCTAATTTACATCTCTCTGTCAAAAGAGGGATGTAGTCTAGAAAACAGCCTCAATGTCTTGTACAAGCCCTGAGCCTGCTCTTGCACCATTTGAAGACAGTGGAACCAGGATTTCCAAGATTGGGGAGTAGATGTGTAAATATGGAGGTTTGCACCTAACCCATGTGGAAGGGGAACTTGATGTAATCACGGCATTTTCAAAAAGGCAGCAAAGCAAAAGCTGTTGACTTCAGTGGGAGTTGGCTCTGGCGCTAGGGAGAAGAATCTGTATGTTCCCGGGGAGCAATGGGTGTGGCCACAAAGTTGGTGCCCTCTAGCAGTGGTTCTCAACCAGGAAAACATATACCTCTGGAGGTAGCAAAGGTCTTCCAGAAGGTACTCAGCTCCTTTAAACTAGTATTTCTCAGCTCTGGGGGTGTGGATCAGTGGATGAGTTTAGGAGGTTTGCAAGTGCAGACCCGACTGTACAGGGTGGCAATTGCCCAGGACTCCCACACCACCAGGGGCTGCACAAAGATAAGGTACAGGCTTCATCCCCAGGTGGTTGGGATAGGGCTTCAGAAAAAGCTTGCAAGTAAAAAGACAAGCTCAAGTATCCCCCTGAAATGTAAGTACAATATTTATATTCGTCATTTTCATTCATAATTCTATGGTTAAAAATGAGCGTCAACAATTTTTTTAGTACCAGTGTGCGGTGACACATTTGTATTTTTATGTCTGATTTTGCAAATTTTAAAGAGAAGTGAAACTTGGGAGTACAAAAGTCAAATCAGACTCCTGAGGGAGATACAGTTGTCTGGAAAACTTGAGGCTACGTCTACATTGTGCTCTCTTGTGCAAGAACATATGCAAATGAGGTGCAACAAGGAATAATGCTGCGCCTCGTTTGCATACTTAATGAGCCGCCATTTTTGCACAAGGAGCAGTCTACACTGCTAACAAAGCGGCAGCATGGCTCTTGCGTAAGAGGGAGTTTTTGTGCACGAAGGAGCAGTGTAGACTGCTCCTTCTTGTGCAAAAGCCTCTTGCGCAAAAATGGTGGCTCATTAAGTATGCAAATGGGGCACGGTGATAGTCATCGCTATGCCTCTTTTGTATATGTTCTTGTGCAAGAGAGCGCAATGTAGACGTAGTCTGAGAGTACAGTAGCTATAGTAAGCACCTGCAATAATAGAAACATTGGTTCAGTTCCTCCCTAGGATTTGAACAGTGACAACATTGAGACTTGCATGTTGAAACTGTTCCACTTTAATTTTTTTAACTGGGCAAAGCAAATTTGAGTGTGTGAAGCCCTCTCTGGTATTATCTGGGATACTCATCTGGGCTGTTAGATACTCTGGTTCAATTCCCCTGTCTCCCAACTGGAACACAAGGGTTGGAAGGGAGCACTGTCTTCCTTGCTGCCTGTTGAAGCTGTTCCACTTTAACTATTGGGCCAAAGCAAAAGTTAAGTACAAGAAGTCTTCTATAGTATAGGGCAGTGGTCCCTAATGCGGTGCCATGGTGCCTGCCAGGGCATTTATGTGAGCCTGCCGAGTGACCAGGGCCATCCCAAGCCGTTCTTGTGTCTGGACCCCAGGCGTGTGGCGCATGCGCAGCCCTACCCCCAGGCACCTGGCAGCCCCAAAAGGTTGGGGACCATTGGTATAGGGGCTAGGGTAAAGGGGGAGGAGGGACCTTGATTCACTTGTTCCCTGGGCCTGAGGCATGAGTCAGCCAGGAAGGTTTCTATATATTCCATAGGGACAGAGCTGACATAAAGGTATCTAAAAGGGTGACACAAGGAGGAGGGAGAAAAATTGTTCTCCTTGGCCTCTGAGGATAGGACAAACAACAATGGGCTTAAACTGCAGCAAGGGAGGTTTAGGTTGGACATTAGGAAAAACTTTCTGTCGGAGTGGTTGAACACTGGAATAAGTTGCCTAGGGAGGTTGTGGAATCTCCAGCTCTGGAGATATTTAAGAGCAGGTTAGATAGACATCTCTCAGGGATGGTCTAGACCAGTGGTGCCCAAACTTTTCGGTATCACACCTCCCTTTTTAATTTTTGAAAAACCCTCTCCCCTTCCCCTAAAAAAATAGCAGCAAAACTTGGGGTGGGAGTGACGGTGTGTGTGTGTGGCTGGGTCGCCTCGTGCGCCTCTCCCCGGAATGTCTTCATGCCTCCCCCCTCCCCCCCCCAGTTTGGGGATCCATGGTCTAGATGGTACTGTCTGGACTTGATGGACCTCTCACGGTCCATTCCAGTTCTAGTGTTCTATGATAATGGCCTGCTGGGAACACAAACAGTTGGGCTTAGAAGATCCCTAAAACTATTTTTACACCAGGGTTCAGCATTCATTCTAGGCAGCCAAAGAAGAGGAGAGGCATAAAAGTGGTTTAAAGCCACTTTTGCAACCCCATTTTCTGGAACAGTGTGAAGTTCATCTTGAACACAGCCCATGATGTAAGGCCCTCCTCCCCATCTAGATCCCTTTTATTCTCCTGCATCTTTCTTTATTTTCTTCTCTCACATCTTCTGCACCCCCTACCTCCCAACTGGCTCCTATTCCAGAGTTAGGGCATGTCTACACTAGGACATTATTTCAAAATACTAACATTTGAAATAAGCGTTATTCTTAGTGGCAAACAGACGTTATTATTTCGAAATGACCAGCTCGTGTGGGCTGGTCGTGTGGATGCTCCACTAGTTTTGCAATAAGGGGCTTATAGTTACATTGTGGGAGTTGCCACCCGAGCGTGAGCTGTTTAATGAGGCAGGTGTAGCCCTCCAGGCCAGCATCTGGCATAGCCCACTGCTGGAGCCAGGACGGCAGCAGAAGAGCTGGCCCATCAGTCACAACCCCGAGGTCTGGCACCTGAAGGGGACTTGACGCCCTTTGGGGCTCCCCCTTGGCCCTTTCAGCTCTGTGGCAGACGGTGTATGT